CTTGAGAATGGGTTTTATTAAACCTATGCTTTGAATATTCTTTGCATTAACAGAATATATAATAACCAAACATTTTATCAATCATCAACAATACTGCCCAGTATTGTTAGCGTGGGGAAGAGCCTCCAAAGGAAGATCAAGATGTAATTTAAAAATCAAGTGTATGTGTTGTTTCTGTAGGGTTTCTCCTTGTACAGAGAGGACAGGGTAGACCTGACTACTCGTATCCGCATGGCTCCATAATGGCTATTCACACTGTTCTCAGGTTATCATGCGAAACCAGACGCAGGATGGAAACGGTATAGTGAGATATTCTAATCATTCATCTCAATCCATCTGTGGGGATTTGGCCTTTCCTGGCCCATTGTGAACAACGGACTCCCAGGACTGGGTCATATCACACACTCACAAACATCTCAGACACAGATCTGAGTCACGTGTCTGAGCCTCACTCATCCTCTTCACGGGAACCCACACCCAGCGGTCAGTGTTTCTGAGATAGAGCTCCACAGTTTTCCATGGCTTCAGCACAGCCAAATTCAAGGCCTACCTGGACCCGTCGTGACAGCAGGTGACCTGGGGGCAGGACTGGGGAGCGGCGTGGACTCTCACCCTGGCTGTTCCCCAGAGAGAGCCCCGTGGAGCTCTGGCTCCACCTGGAGGGGCCGGGGAGCCGCCGGCTCTGCCCTTGGGACACAGTGCACAGAGGGACTGGAAGCTGGCACGTCTGAGTGAGGGACCACAGGGGTTCTCTGCAGCCCTCTGGCAACTTTCTCTTCAAGATTAAGATAGTTGCCAATCATTTGGTTAGGGCAAAGAGAAAAACGTGAGCAACATCCTCTCTGAGTCACTGATGGTCCGACTGCTGAGAGGAGAGGACTGAGCCCGAGCCAGGGTGTCGGGCCCAGGAGAGCTCAGTGTCCCACCTGCCAGTGGCCAGGAGTCTGGGCCCAGTGAAGGGACCCGCTGATCCTCAGTGCCCTCGGCTCCGCCGTGAGACACCACAGCTACCTGAGAGGGTGCCTGGGAGGGCTGAAGGGCTTATAGTGCACTAGGAGCTTGCTTAGGAAGGAGCATGTGGACAGCAGGTGCACAGTAACTGCGTGTTCCCTTTCTGGTTTGTGAACTACTGTGATCCTGAGAAAGCCTTTGCTTCTCTGCTCCTCAGGGAAGAATGAGAAATAAGAAAGAAACTGCTTCCAAGGTGAAAAGGCACCAACTGATTGACGGACAACTTTTATATGCCCAATATCATTTTAAAAGGAGTCAGATAAAATCTGATATATAATGGAGTTTCTTCTGATTTATCAAGATGATCTTACGAATCAAAGTCCTCACAATAAGAATGCTTCTCCTAAAGAAAAAGTCAAAACAATATCCCAAGAAGGATTTCATACTAGGTTTTCATTTCCACACCCTATGAACTGCTACCCAAGTGCACCTGGCCCATAAATTAGGTCAATACCCCCATCAGATACACAGGTTATGGAGAGTTTCCATGAGATTATACCACTGAGATTGCTTAACACATTGAAATCATAACCCACCCATGGAAAACTCCTTTTTGCTGCACAAAGGATGAAACACAAGGGTGTTTCTAGAGGTTGGAACAACAGGGACAGATATTTGGATTCACGGAAATGACAGGGCATAGACAGATTTGATGCTCAGGATCTAGTATCTAAATGCTTCAGAGGGAGGTAGGCAGCAAAGGGGTAAGAATCTGGAGTTGGGCAACAATATAACATGCATTACAAATATGGAGCAGATTGCAATCAGGAATCCAAAGCCAGAGAGCTTGCCAGAAACTATTCAAGGAATAAAATTAGCAACAAAATTTCATGACTGTAAGGATTCTTGTCTTGATAAAAAGAGCTCTGTTACACAAATCCCTGCAGGTGAGACAGTGGTAGCTGAGATTCTGCTCTTATCCCTCCACTTGCCCTCTCTGGTCTGACTTGATACCACAAGCCTGTGCTGCTGAGATGAGTTCAGGTGACAGAGGGCAGCCCGGGGCAAGAAGAATGCAAAGGCTCGTGATGCCTTTTAAAAGTTCAAACTGATGGAATGATGAAAAAGTAAAAAAAAAAAAAAAAAAAAAAGTTCCAACTGAGAACATAGTTCTAATCGACCCGAGCCTAAGAACCTGTCTGGGAGTACTCACCGTTTACATCTAGAGCCAAGAAAATTTCTCTCTTCTCTGTTGGGAAGGAGACCCTCCTAGAAGGAGGACAGGAGCCTTCCAGATAATGGTCAATAGAAGCAGCCAGATAACATTCATCCAGTGTGTCCAGGTGGACTTCGTTCTCTTCTACCACCAGCTGCTCCATGCTGAGATTGTGGGGGTGGGAGAGCAGATGGTGAAACAAGAGGGATGAGTCAACCTGGAGCCATAGCTGCTTTTGAGGGGAGGGTTAAGGGACACGTTGGAAAAAACAAATGGGGAGTCCCCTGAAAGGGAGGCATAACTATCCCCCCACCCACAAGCCCCAACTGGGGCCTGAAGGCGCTTGCAAAGCGAAAGGAAGAGAGAGTGAGGGAGAATGAGCATGAGATGCTCTGAGCACAGAGAAGAAATGAGTTCAGGAGGAAGGAGAGGAGCCACCCCAGGACACATAGTCACGTCACACACGCCCTCAGAACATAAAGGCGGCTTCAGATGCACCATACATTTTGTTGAAATATACATGCTGCATGCAAATGAATACCAGCTCTGGCAGCATAATGGACTCCTAGAAATCTTGTGTCTGCAAGACCAATTTTTCTGAGACTGTGATGGGACATGAATTTTGTTTCCTCGTTACTTTGCTTGCCACGAAATACCTGCCAAGGTCTTAAGACCAAAGACAGAGGCAGATAAGTATGGCATGCTGGTTTGAATGAAAAGGAGAGGACAGAGGAGTACAAGAAATCCTGGGCTGATCAGTAGCCCTGCTTCAACTGACTGCAAGTTACTATCATTGAGAGGGATTCATAAAGGGTGAAAACAGACAACCTTGTGACAGGGACAATTTGTGGTGGTGTGAATGGAAGAAATAGGCATGTTCAGCACTTTCTGATTCCCCTGCATCTGAGATGACCAAATGTCACCACTGATGTCAGACCCATGTTTCTCCATAGTTACCTAGAGCAGATGATGTCTTGATTTTCCTCGTCCTCAAGATCAGCAAGATTTTCTAAGGATAAATTCAGACACGTTGAGGAACACTTAGCAGGTCTCATCGTGTAAATTAATAACCCAGCATCCAATACTGCCATGGGGACCTTTATATCAGCAACGAGATGACAGGCTATTTAAGAAGGATATTCCCGATGCCTCATTTGGATCTCTCAGACTCTCCTTGGTTTACTTTCCTGAGCCATCAGGCAAGATCTCTCTTCCCTGGTAGATCCTCACCACAGTATTCTCTTCCATGTTTCAGTAAAAGTTTAAGATTCATCTTCCCCACAGAGTCTGGGGAATAGCCCACAGCATTCTTGCAGAATACTCTTAATACTCAGGCTTTTCTCGTCATATGCTGACTGCTTTAGCACAATGATGAGTGGAATGAACAAAACATCGAATTACATGAATCCTAGTTGTTACACGGACCCTTCAGTCATTCATGAGGTGGGAAAATGCCAGGGCTCTGCCTTGCTTCATGAAATACACACCCAAGGTGACGAGAGAGCTCTTTGCATCCTGGGGACCAGATGATTGGTTTGCTAAGACAAGCAATTTAGAGAAGCAAACACTGGGGATGACAGCAGTGACACCAGGGAGCAACAAATAATGAAGGCTCTGAGCACCTTTGGAAAGGCGCAGAAATTCAAGGGACACTTTGGGTATGAAAATGGGTGCCTTGTGGCAAGAAGAGACATTGCACAGGAATCAGGAAAAAATACAGTCGTCTCCAGACACCTGCACACATACAAGTGAGGGGTTCACTCCAGCCTTGGGTCTGTAATCTAACTTGGGGCCTGACCCATAGGCTTCACCTGAATGAAGAAGACAGCACTGCTCCCAGACCCACCTGATGTCTGTACTTAAAACTCTACCACAGAGTCTGATTCAAATCACTGTCTACAGAACTTCCAACAGGGATGAGAAATCTCAGCAGCCCAGAGGCGAGGAGTACGAAGCACACAGAGTCTACCTGGGCATCCAGGTGGCATTCTGTCACAAGAAAATACTCACCGGTTACATCCCGAGCATAGGAGACATCCAGGTCCTCAGGTGAGAAGATGGCTGTGCTCCTATAAGACCAGCAGGTGTGTGCCAGGCTAGGAAGACCCGAGTAAGTCAGATAATAGTCATCCAGAGAGTTCTGCAGGGCACCATATTCTGCCATCTGTGGCATCTGTCTGCTGAACCTGGTGGGGGAGGGAGGGCAAAAGATTAAGCCAAGACTGATCAGAAACTGTACAGTTCTATCTGGTTCTGATGGAATGTTTGAGTGGTGAAGCACGCCAAGGGTCTCATCCATCAGAGAGAGAAAAGTCTGTTTTGTGTGTGAGACAAAGCGTGGTTTCCCAGGGGCAGAAGAGAGAAAGAGCAGTAGGGGTTCAGTGCTCTGGCCAAAGAACAGGCTGATGAGCAGACTGAATTCTCTCTGGTGGTGCAGTCATGCCTCACATACAGGGACACAGAACACTGGCTTTCACACTTCCATTTACGTTGCATTGACATTACTATGACACACACGCCAGCATGCTGACACCAAACAGAAAGCAGATACGCATCTCACTCTGTAAACCACACCTGATAGAAAGATTGAGTGCAAAAGCATCACTCTGACTTAGTTCACCTGGGTCAACTGATTTGGGTTTTAAACTTGACAAGTAAAGAAGAAACGGGAAATAGTAGAAGTACCACAGTGAAAGCAGAGATCATTATGAAAAAGGATAATAATGGTGGGCAAAACTGACGACACAATATCTTCAGCAATTTCTGTTTTTCCCTGGATCGGGGTCTGCAGATGTCATGACTGTACAAAGAGCCGACAGATATTCAAAATTACCTCGGGGCAACCACCTCCGGTCCTTTCAGGTCATCATGATCATTCTGCTTTTCTGCAAATAAATTCACAGGAGATTGTCATCAGGCAAATGCCTTTCAAAACGCCCAATCGTGTGCCTATCTTCACAATGTGGTAACAGGCTATTGAGACAGAAATCATCCAGGAGGCCCTAGAAAGAGCCTCAGAAGAAGGCACTGGGTTTCCTTCTTGAGCCATTGGGCAAATTTCCTTGATATCCTATGTCACTGGAAGAGTATCCTGGTCATGAGTCTGTGCAAACAGCTAAATAAATCCTTTTCCCCACAGTTCCTGGGGAACAACTTTGCTACATCCTCAGCCTGCGATAAGATTCAGGATTTTCCATCTGAAATGTTGTTTACTAATGGGATAAGTGATTACACACTGAGATAAATGGAAGTGGAATCCATACACCATCAAGTCAAATGAATCTCAAAGCTGCAAACAGTGGCCATTCATCAGCTTGGGAAGTTCCAGGGCCCTGCCTTAGCTCAGAGAAACATGCCAAAAGATGACAGTGAGGCTTACCTTCTTGTTTCAGAAGACTTCGAACAAGATATGTCAAAGGAAAAGAGAGAGCCAATGGGTTGATAGAAGTGAACTAAAGTAGTGACATCTCCAAAGGTATAAACAAGCCTGCCAAAAGCCCTGGACAGGTGTAGAAACTCAGGGACATTACCCAGAAATGAAAAGTAAAGCATTTCATGTGAGATAAGAGGTTCACTCAAAATCAGGAAGCCTGAGCGCTACCTTCTGTGCCACAGGTGCTGAGGCACACGTGAGCCTGGCTGGACCACCTTGGGTAGAGTGGTTAACCACAGGGACACCCATGACAGTGAACTTAGAAAAGTTCATTCATAGAATGTCTTATTTTAAATGGAATTATAGAGTCTGGTTCAAACCAGGCTTCAGGATGTAAGCATAGGGTCTATTAAAGGGGATTAACTCTCTAGGAGTAGACTAACAGATGTAATGAAGACTACCTGTGAGACCAGTTGGAATTTCATCCTCTTCAGCCTGAGGGCAACCACAGGCTCCATCCACGGCAGACTTCACATTCTCTTCATCAAATGCAACTTCCCCATCATTGTAAGGCTGGTTGCAGGCAGAACCTTCCTGGGGAGTGGAAGCTACTGAAAGACATTCATCCTGGGAATGTGGGAACACCACCGTCTTTTCCACATCCTGCACGTTCACACTGTGTCAGATGGAGAAGGGAGGACAGAAGATTAAGAGGACTCGACTCCAAGCTATCTGGCTGCTTCTGATGACAGGCATTGAGAGTGGTCACAGAAAGCAAAAGGGCAGCCCCCTTAAGGAGGGAAGTAACTCCTCCTGATGTGGAGCGGAGTGTGGCTGCCCTGGGGTGGGAGAGAGACAGCAGGTTCTCTGGGCACTGGCCACACAACCTGTGGTTGAAGGAGGAAACGGAACGTTCCCTGCATGCTATCGTCATGACGCCCAACATGCACAGAGGACTGGGACAGCAGTTCAGACTTTTCTGCACACATTGTGTTGATCTGGATATCCTGTGTCCAAGTGAACACAGCTGTTAAAAAGTTAAAAATTTGTTTCTGTTTTGACTCTATTCCATTCAATTTAAAAAATTTTATTTGCACAAATATACCTTCCAAATCAGTTTTTCAGAGTTGGAGAAAAAGGAGTTATAGACTAGATATTCTGCCTTCAAGAACTCTTTTTTCAATATTTTGTTGTAATATGAATATCGTTCTATTTTCTTCCCTTGAAATCCAATATTTGCCATCATGCTGATGCCAAACCAATGTAAGACCATAGGATTTCACCCTACATGAACCACTCAGGAGAAAGCACATGAACACAGGAACTCCTAGGTTTGGTTGTTGCACCTGGGTCAACTCACTGTACATTACTAAACTTGAAGGATTAAAAATTGAAATCCACAAACTTGTGAAACATAAATAGACAAGGTTGTTAAAGAGATAATTGCTGTTGAATGAATAGATGAAAGAATTACATAGACTACTTTCTATTTTTCTCTGGATCTGACGTCTCCTGCTGTCACCACTGACATTCACAGCCCACAGATCTTCAAATTACCTGGGAAATGTGAGCTCTTGTCCACTCACTTGCTTGCGATCATTTTCATTCTCTAGTAAGAAATTCAGAGACAGCCAGTCATAATAAGAAAATCAGACCTCACACATATCTACTCAGTAATCACATATACAACAAGGACTTTAATATTCTCATTGTAAGAACATACTTCTTTAGCAAAGTTATCCTAGGACACTTAAGTCTTGTGAGAATTAGACTGGACTGCTTCCAGAGCCATTGAGGAAATTTGCTGCTTGATCTGGTATCTCTCCCAACATCCTTTGTTCTGAGTCTGTATAAGCAGTTAAAAACGTATTTTCCACAGAGATGCTGGAACATGAGCTGAGTTATTTTCTAGAATTATTTCTATAGTACTGCTTAGTCCCATCAGATTATGTGGTTGTTGATGGTTTAGAGGAATTTATACTTGAGACTAGAGTGGTGGGTGAATTGTGAAAGCGTTAGCCACTCATTCGTATCTGTCTCTTTGGGACCACATGGACTAGAGGCCACCAGGCTCCCCTGGCCATGGAATTCTCCACACAAGAATACTAGAGTGGGTGCCATTCTCTTGTCCAGAGGATCTGCATGACACAGGGATTGAACCTGGGTCCCCTGCATTGCGGACAGATTCTTTACCATCTCAGCCACCACGATAGCCCAGTGAATTGTAGTAACCCTCAAATCAAAAAGAATCTTTGATGCTACACAGAAACCATGGCCATTTGAAGCTGGAGGAACTGCCAGAGCCCAGCCTTGCTGCATGGAAGCCACAGCCTGAGGGAGGATCACCAGGCAGCCCAGGCTCCAGTGGAGGACATGGAGAGTGATGGATGTAAGAGTGATGGAGTAAGGATGAATACATCCCAGATGAAATGGATGTGAGGGTCTGAAAGCTCTTTTAAGGAAACTTGAGCAGATGTGGATCCAGAGGAGAGGAAGACTAGGAGACGGCAAAGGAGATGAGTGGAGAGAATGAATTAAATGGAGTGTCATAAAAGAGACTGATGGGTGCACTTCAAGAATGAGGGTAGCCCTTTATTTTAAAATGAGGGGAAAATGAGGAAAAGAAACTGGATATGAAACATAGACATGGGACTGTGTTGCAGGGCCAGTGTTTACACTCCTATTGCATGCTGCTAAGACACTGTTACTGGGAGCACCCAACAGGAGTAAATTGCCTTGATGACAGATGTTGAAAGGAGAGGAAAAATACTGGCCAAGCTACCTTCCTGAGAAAGCAAGGAAAAATGGGGTTTAGAGAAAGCGGAGACCATAAAGCTTATGCTACCATAGAGGAAACAACCATTGTGCAATCATTTTGTAAGTGTTAAAGCACCAGAAAGACACAGTGCTTAGATATGATATATTCATAGTGGTTATCAAACAAATTTTAGCGAATCAGATGCCCTGGACATTATATTGTTGAAGATTCCCAACAATCTTGCAAAGGAGATAGAATTTTTCAAGAGTTCAGATGAGGGATGAGAGAGGCAAATACCTAGGAAGATGAATAAGTTGGCTCAGTTAAACAAGCAGGAGTTTGCAGAACCAGGGCCTGAGGCTGAGCTGGTCCTAAGTCCCAGGCTCTTGATCACCTCACTCTGGTAGAGGGTCACGGGTTTCAACTGGGCCGACAGCGCGTTTGGGAGAGGCCCTCTGCCTCCTCCACCCACAGCTTTGTGATGACCAGCACATGGACCAGAGCTTTCTAATCCCCTTTTCTTTCTTACCGAGAAAGAGTGGTCCTTGGTTTCCAGAATCAGGGTTGGTGGTAAAGGCCCAGTTGATGGAAGAAAGACCAAGAATGGGTTTGCTGTCACCACAGTCAAGATGCTGGTCCAGCTGCCACTGCAGACACTCGGTCACGTGGGTGCTTTTCTGAAGCTGTGCCTGTGAAGTTGGCACCTCTGACGCTGGGAAACTCACAGGTTCCTGGTAACAGTCCTCCCAGGCGTCACCTGAAAGGAAAAGAGGGTTCAGTAGGACCAATGAAAGCTTCTTCTTGCCTAGCCCTCCCAGAATGCCCATTTCTGCTGTCCTAGCCCATAAGTGAAACCAGCCAATAACCCAGACAACACTGGCAGACATCAATGTGAAGAAGGCGCCATATTTATGGCTGGGACTGGGGTGCGGAGAAGGCAGGTGCTAGGCTGCAACTTCTTGAAATGAGAAATCACCCACTTGAGTCGAGAGGGTCTGGGTGACACAGGAGGTCAAGCCTCTTATTCTGTTATTAGCCTTAGTCTTGGAGCCTAGAGAGAAGGTTCCACACAAGCCTCTCTCTATGCATGGGGGAGAAAGAGTTGTTGATATCTACCCACAGGAATAAAAGAAGAGGAAGAGACATATGGCGTGAAAGCTTCAGGTCCTACTAGAATTTGAGCTGGGAAAATACAGTACATTCCAGACCCTTTGGAACTTCCTTGCTTGAAGTTTTTGTCTACCCTTCCACTCACCCGTACATGTACATATAGAATAAAATCTATTCCCACGTGGGGCAGAATGGGGATGGGTGGTATTAGCAGCTAGAACTAGTGGGGGAGAGGGCTGAGACCCTGTTGGAAACACCTTTGTGTCTCTTTAAAGAGATTATATAAGTACACTGCTTCAATACACGTCCCTCCACTGGTGACTCGACAGTGCTCATAATGAAATGTGTTTATATATTTCTACTGCGAAATGAGTACACATTCTCAGAACCTGGGCTAACCAAAGGCACGAAGTACCCTCCTCTGGTCCAGGTCAGGCTGCTGTGAGGTCACGGCCGCCAGGGCCTGCTCTCCATTGCTGTGGGGCTCTCCTCTCACCTCCTTATGCATCCACACCCTCAACAAGGTTTGTTTCTCTAACTGTCTCTCATGTGTCTGTTACCTCTTAGTGTTCCAGAGAGCATCTGAGTTTGACTCTCATCAAAGATTCATCCAACCTCCTTCCAGCTGCTTTCTCTGATTCCGTCCTCTCCAGACTCTCAAAGGTCACCTGGCTTATCACCCCCCAAGCCTGTTTTATCACATGTGCCTCAGTTTATGGAAATTCATCCTCCCTTCCCTGCTACACAGATCGAACCTCCTCACCCGCCTTTCCAGTGCTCCTGTCTTCTGTCCCTTTCTTCTGAAACATCACTTCCCACAACTCCCTCTGCACATCCTCCTAGGACTCAGGCTGGCCCCTTTCTGACCCCAGCCCTGTACCAGGAGCCTCTGTGAGCTTCCAGGGCTTTTTCCAAAACCACTTCTCTCAGTCTGGTGTACCCTTCATATTTCCACCAGGCAAACTTCATTAAACATTAATCATCATGTTTTAGGACACTTCCTCAGATTTTATGATAATTCACATTGGGCTGAAGGGTAAATCCTTGTATATCAACAAATTTGGTGTTTGAAAGAACTGTCAAAACTATCTATCCCCTTATTCTCCAATGTTATTCTAAGTCGATGTCTAGGATTGTTTTTAATTAGCGTTGTGTAACTTCATCATCTAATTTTATTTGCCTTTCTTGAGAATGGGTTTTATTAAACCTATGCTTTGAATATTCTTTGCATTAACAGAATATATAATAACCAAACATTTTATCAATCATCAACAATACTGCCCAGTATTGTTAGCGTGGGGAAGAGCCTCCAATAGAAGATCAAGATGTAATTTAAAAATCAAGTGTATGTGTTGTTTCTGTAGGGTTTCTCCTTGTACAGAGAGGACAGGGTAGACCTGACTACTCGTATCCGCATGGCTCCATAATGGCTATTCACACTGTTCTCAGGTTATCATGCGAAACCAGACGCAGGATGGAAACGGTATAGTGAGATATTCTAATCATTCATCTCAATCCATCTGTGGGGATTTGGCCTTTCCTGGCCCATTGTGAACAACGGACTCCCAGGACTGGGTCATATCACACACTCACAAACATCTCAGACACAGATCTGAGTCACGTGTCTGAGCCTCACTCATCCTCTTCACGGGAACCCACACCCAGCGGTCAGTGTTTCTGAGATAGAGCTCCACAGTTTTCCATGGCTTCAGCACAGCCAAATTCAAGGCCTACCTGGACCCGTCGTGACAGCAGGTGACCTGGGGGCAGGACTGGGGAGCGGCGTGGACTCTCACCCTGGCTGTTCCCCAGAGAGAGCCCCGTGGAGCTCTGGCTCCACCTGGAGGGGCCGGGGAGCCGCCGGCTCTGCCCTTGGGACACAGTGCACAGAGGGACTGGAAGCTGGCACGTCTGAGTGAGGGACCACAGGGGTTCTCTGCAGCCCTCTGGCAACTTTCTCTTCAAGATTAAGATAGTTGCCAATCATTTGGTTAGGGCAAAGAGAAAAACGTGAGCAACATCCTCTCTGAGTCACTGATGGTCCGACTGCTGAGAGGAGAGGACTGAGCCCGAGCCAGGGTGTCGGGCCCAGGAGAGCTCAGTGTCCCACCTGCCAGTGGCCAGGAGTCTGGGCCCAGTGAAGGGACCCGCTGATCCTCAGTGCCCTCGGCTCCGCCGTGAGACACCACAGCTACCTGAGAGGGTGCCTGGGAGGGCTGAAGGGCTTATAGTGCACTAGGAGCTTGCTTAGGAAGGAGCATGTGGACAGCAGGTGCACAGTAACTGCGTGTTCCCTTTCTGGTTTGTGAACTACTGTGATCCTGAGAAAGCCTTTGCTTCTCTGCTCCTCAGGGAAGAATGAGAAATAAGAAAGAAACTGCTTCCAAGGTGAAAAGGCACCAACTGATTGACGGACAACTTTTATATGCCCAATATCATTTTAAAAGGAGTCAGATAAAATCTGATATATAATGGAGTTTCTTCTGATTTATCAAGATGATCTTACGAATCAAAGTCCTCACAATAAGAATGCTTCTCCTAAAGAAAAAGTCAAAACAATATCCCAAGAAGGATTTCATACTAGGTTTTCATTTCCACACCCTATGAACTGCTACCCAAGTGCACCTGGCCCATAAATTAGGTCAATACCCCCATCAGATACACAGGTTATGGAGAGTTTCCATGAGATTATACCACTGAGATTGCTTAACACATTGAAATCATAACCCACCCATGGAAAACTCCTTTTTGCTGCACAAAGGATGAAACACAAGGGTGTTTCTAGAGGTTGGAACAACAGGGACAGATATTTGGATTCACGGAAATGACAGGGCATAGACAGATTTGATGCTCAGGATCTAGTATCTAAATGCTTCAGAGGGAGGTAGGCAGCAAAGGGGTAAGAATCTGGAGTTGGGCAACAATATAACATGCATTACAAATATGGAGCAGATTGCAATCAGGAATCCAAAGCCAGAGAGCTTGCCAGAAACTATTCAAGGAATAAAATTAGCAACAAAATTTCATGACTGTAAGGATTCTTGTCTTGATAAAAAGAGCTCTGTTACACAAATCCCTGCAGGTGAGACAGTGGTAGCTGAGATTCTGCTCTTATCCCTCCACTTGCCCTCTCTGGTCTGACTTGATACCACAAGCCTGTGCTGCTGAGATGAGTTCAGGTGACAGAGGGCAGCCCGGGGCAAGAAGAATGCAAAGGCTCGTGATGCCTTTTAAAAGTTCAAACTGATGGAATGATGAAAAAGTAAAAAAAAAAAAAAAAAAAAAAGTTCCAACTGAGAACATAGTTCTAATCGACCCGAGCCTAAGAACCTGTCTGGGAGTACTCACCGTTTACATCTAGAGCCAAGAAAATTTCTCTCTTCTCTGTTGGGAAGGAGACCCTCCTAGAAGGAGGACAGGAGCCTTCCAGATAATGGTCAATAGAAGCAGCCAGATAACATTCATCCAGTGTGTCCAGGTGGACTTCGTTCTCTTCTACCACCAGCTGCTCCATGCTGAGATTGTGGGGGTGGGAGAGCAGATGGTGAAACAAGAGGGATGAGTCAACCTGGAGCCATAGCTGCTTTTGAGGGGAGGGTTAAGGGACACGTTGGAAAAAACAAATGGGGAGTCCCCTGAAAGGGAGGCATAACTATCCCCCCACCCACAAGCCCCAACTGGGGCCTGAAGGCGCTTGCAAAGCGAAAGGAAGAGAGAGTGAGGGAGAATGAGCATGAGATGCTCTGAGCACAGAGAAGAAATGAGTTCAGGAGGAAGGAGAGGAGCCACCCCAGGACACATAGTCACGTCACACACGCCCTCAGAACATAAAGGCGGCTTCAGATGCACCATACATTTTGTTGAAATATACATGCTGCATGCAAATGAATACCAGCTCTGGCAGCATAATGGACTCCTAGAAATCTTGTGTCTGCAAGACCAATTTTTCTGAGACTGTGATGGGACATGAATTTTGTTTCCTCGTTACTTTGCTTGCCACGAAATACCTGCCAAGGTCTTAAGACCAAAGACAGAGGCAGATAAGTATGGCATGCTGGTTTGAATGAAAAGGAGAGGACAGAGGAGTACAAGAAATCCTGGGCTGATCAGTAGCCCTGCTTCAACTGACTGCAAGTTACTATCATTGAGAGGGATTCATAAAGGGTGAAAACAGACAACCTTGTGACAGGGACAATTTGTGGTGGTGTGAATGGAAGAAATAGGCATGTTCAGCACTTTCTGATTCCCCTGCATCTGAGATGACCAAATGTCACCACTGATGTCAGACCCATGTTTCTCCATAGTTACCTAGAGCAGATGATGTCTTGATTTTCCTCGTCCTCAAGATCAGCAAGATTTTCTAAGGATAAATTCAGACACGTTGAGGAACACTTAGCAGGTCTCATCGTGTAAATTAATAACCCAGCATCCAATACTGCCATGGGGACCTTTATATCAGCAACGAGATGACAGGCTATTTAAGAAGGATATTCCCGATGCCTCATTTGGATCTCTCAGACTCTCCTTGGTTTACTTTCCTGAGCCATCAGGCAAGATCTCTCTTCCCTGGTAGATCCTCACCACAGTATTCTCTTCCATGTTTCAGTAAAAGTTTAAGATTCATCTTCCCCACAGAGTCTGGGGAATAGCCCACAGCATTCTTGCAGAATACTCTTAATACTCAGGCTTTTCTCGTCATATGCTGACTGCTTTAGCACAATGATGAGTGGAATGAACAAAACATCGAATTACATGAATCCTAGTTGTTACACGGACCCTTCAGTCATTCATGAGGTGGGAAAATGCCAGGGCTCTGCCTTGCTTCATGAAATACACACCCAAGGTGACGAGAGAGCTCTTTGCATCCTGGGGACCAGATGATTGGTTTGCTAAGACAAGCAATTTAGAGAAGCAAACACTGGGGATGACAGCAGTGACACCAGGGAGCAACAAATAATGAAGGCTCTGAGCACCTTTGGAAAGGCGCAGAAATTCAAGGGACACTTTGGGTATGAAAATGGGTGCCTTGTGGCAAGAAGAGACATTGCACAGGAATCAGGAAAAAATACAGTCGTCTCCAGACACCTGCACACATACAAGTGAGGGGTTCACTCCAGCCTTGGGTCTGTAATCTAACTTGGGGCCTGACCCATAGGCTTCACCTGAATGAAGAAGACAGCACTGCTCCCAGACCCACCTGATGTCTGTACTTAAAACTCTACCACAGAGTCTGATTCAAATCACTGTCTACAGAACTTCCAACAGGGATGAGAAATCTCAGCAGCCCAGAGGCGAGGAGTACGAAGCACACAGAGTCTACCTGGGCATCCAGGTGGCATTCTGTCACAAGAAAATACTCACCGGTTACATCCCGAGCATAGGAGACATCCAGGTCCTCAGGTGAGAAGATGGCTGTGCTCCTATAAGACCAGCAGGTGTGTGCCAGGCTAGGAAGACCCGAGTAAGTCAGATAATAGTCATCCAGAGAGTTCTGCAGGGCACCATATTCTGCCATCTGTGGCATCTGTCTGCTGAACCTGGTGGGGGAGGGAGGGCAAAAGATTAAGCCAAGACTGATCAGAAACTGTACAGTTCTATCTGGTTCTGATGGAATGTTTGAGTGGTGAAGCACGCCAAGGGTCTCATCCATCAGAGAGAGAAAAGTCTGTTTTGTGTGTGAGACAAAGCGTGGTTTCCCAGGGGCAGAAGAGAGAAAGAGCAGTAGGGGTTCAGTGCTCTGGCCAAAGAACAGGCTGATGAGCAGACTGAATTCTCTCTGGTGGTGCAGTCATGCCTCACATACAGGGACACAGAACACTGGCTTTCACACTTCCATTTACGTTGCATTGACATTACTATGACACACACGCCAGCATGCTGACACCAAACAGAAAGCAGATACGCATCTCACTCTGTAAACCACACCTGATAGAAAGATTGAGTGCAAAAGCATCACTCTGACTTAGTTCACCTGGGTCAACTGATTTGGGTTTTAAACTTGACAAGTAAAGAAGAAACGGGAAATAGTAGAAGTACCACAGTGAAAGCAGAGATCATTATGAAAAAGGATAATAATGGTGGGCAAAACTGACGACACAATATCTTCAGCAATTTCTGTTTTTCCCTGGATCGGGGTCTGCAGATGTCATGACTGTACAAAGAGCCGACAGATATTCAAAATTACCTCGGGGCAACCACCTCCGGTCCTTTCAGGTCATCATGATCATTCTGCTTTTCTGCAAATAAATTCACAGGAGATTGTCATCAGGCAAATGCCTTTCAAAACGCCCAATCGTGTGCCTATCTTCACAATGTGGTAACAGGCTATTGAGACAGAAATCATCCAGGAGGCCCTAGAAAGAGCCTCAGAAGAAGGCACTGGGTTTCCTTCTTGAGCCATTGGGCAAATTTCCTTGATATCCTATGTCACTGGAAGAGTATCCTGGTCATGAGTCTGTGCAAACAGCTAAATAAATCCTTTTCCCCACAGTTCCTGGGGAACAACTTTGCTACATCCTCAGCCTGCGATAAGATTCAGGATTTTCCATCTGAAATGTTGTTTACTAATGGGATAAGTGATTACACACTGAGATAAATGGAAGTGGAATCCATACACCATCAAGTCAAATGAATCTCAAAGCTGCAAACAGTGGCCATTCATCAGCTTGGGAAGTTCCAGGGCCCTGCCTTAGCTCAGAGAAACATGCCAAAAGATGACAGTGAGGCTTACCTTCTTGTTTCAGAAGACTTCGAACAAGATATGTCAAAGGAAAAGAGAGAGCCAATGGGTTGATAGAAGTGAACTAAAGTAGTGACATCTCCAAAGGTATAAACAAGCCTGCCAAAAGCCCTGGACAGGTGTAGAAACTCAGGGACATTACCCAGAAATGAAAAGTAAAGCATTTCATGTGAGATAAGAGGTTCACTCAAAATCAGGAAGCCTGAGCGCTACCTTCTGTGCCACAGGTGCTGAGGCACACGTGAGCCTGGCTGGACCACCTTGGGTAGAGTGGTTAACCACAGGGACACCCATGACAGTGAACTTAGAAAAGTTCATTCATAGAATGTCTTATTTTAAATGGAATTATAGAGTCTGGTTCAAACCAGGCTTCAGGATGTAAGCATAGGGTCTATTAAAGGGGATTAACTCTCTAGGAGTAGACTAACAGATGTAATGAAGACTACCTGTGAGACCAGTTGGAATTTCATCCTCTTCAGCCTGAGGGCAACCACAGGCTCCATCCACGGCAGACTTCACATTCTCTTCATCAAATGCAACTTCCCCATCATTGTAAGGCTGGTTGCAGGCAGAACCTTCCTGGGGAGTGGAAGCTACTGAAAGACATTCATCCTGGGAATGTGGGAACACCACCGTCTTTTCCACATCCTGCACGTTCACACTGTGTCAGATGGAGAAGGGAGGACAGAAGATTAAGAGGACTCGACTCCAAGCTATCTGGCTGGTTCTGATGACAGGCATTGAGAGTGGTCACAGAAAGCAAAAGGGCAGCCCCCTTAAGGAGGGAAGTAACTCCTCCTGATGTGGAGCGGAGTGTGGCTGCCCTGGGGTGGGAGAGAGACAGCAGGTTCTCTGGGCACTGGCCACACAACCTGTGGTTGAAGGAGGAAACGGAACGTTCCCTGCATGCTATCGTCATGACGCCCAACATGCACAGAGGACTGGGACAGCAGTTCAGACTTTTCTGCACACATTGTGTTGATCTGGATATCCTGTGTCCAAGTGAACACAGCTGTTAAAAAGTTAAAAATTTGTTTCTGTTTTGACTCTATTCCATTCAATTTAAAAAATTTTATTTGCACAAATATACCTTCCAAATCAGTTTTTCAGAGTTGGAGAAAAAGGAGTTATAGACTAGATATTCTGCCTTCAAGAACTCTTTTTTCAATATTTTGTTGTAATATGAATATCGTTCTATTTTCTTCCCTTGAAATCCAATATTTGCCATCATGCTGATTTCAAACCAATGTAAGACCATAGGATTTCACCCTACATGAACCACTCAGGAGAAAGCACATGAACACAGGAACTCCTAGGTTTGGTTATTGCACCTGGGTCAACTCACTGTACATTACTAAACTTGAAGGATTAAAAATTGAAATCCACAAACTTGTGAAACATAAATAGACAAGGTTGTTAAAGAGATAATTGCTGTTGAATGAATAGATGAAAGAATTACATAGACTACTTTCTATTTTTCTCTGGATCTGACGTCTCCTGCTGTCACCACTGACATTCACAGCCCACAGATCTTCAAATTACCTGGGAAATGTGAGCTCTTGTCCACTCACTTGCTTGCGATCATTTTCATTCTCTAGTAAGAAATTCAGAGACAGCCAGTCATAATAAGAAAATCAGACCTCACACATATCTACTCAGTAATCACATATACAACAAGGACTTTAATATTCTCATTGTAAGAACATACTTCTTTAGCAAAGTTATCCTAGGACACTTAAGTCTTGTGAGAATTAGACTGGACTGCTTCCAGAGCCATTGAGGAAATTTGCTGCTTGATCTGGTATCTCTCCCAACATCCTTTGTTCTGAGTCTGTATAAGCAGTTAAAAACGTATTTTCCACAGAGATGCTGGAACATGAGCTGAGTTATTTTCTAGAATTATTTCTATAGTACTGCTTAGTCCCATCAGATTATGTGGTTGTTGATGGTTTAGAGGAATTTATACTTGAGACTAGAGTGGTGGGTGAATTGTGAAAGCGTTAGCCACTCATTAGTATCTGTCTCTTTGTGACCACATGGACTAGAGGCCACCAGGCTCCCCTGGCCATGGAATTCTCCACACAAGAATACTAGAGTGGGTGTCATTCTCTTGTCCAGAGGATCTGCATGACACAGGCATTGAACCTGGGTCCCCTGCATTGTGGACAGATTCTTTACCATCTCAGCCACCACGATAGCCCAGTGAATTGTAGTAACCCTCAAATCAAAAAGAATCTTTGATGCTACACAGAAACCATGGCCATTTGAAGCTGGAGGAACTGCCAGAGCCCAGCCTTGCTTCAACATCCAAGCGAGGCTATGGTTCGGTTGTGTCTCTCTTGGTGTCAGATAACATCTTAGCTAAGACCTGCCAACATCGAGAAAAGGGAGCCTGGGGTTGAGAGCGTTAAAACAAAACCTGGAAATCACCTCTCCTTATAAAGAGACAAGTCCGTTATCATTTCTGGAGAGGCCAGGAACATTTACAAAAATTAGATCACTGCAAGTAACAATACACTGGCTCCAAACTCCTTCTGACAGATACCTCCTGTGGATTTCCAGATGAGGTGGGTGAGAGTTGTCAAAACTGATTTGGCTCAAATGCCTGACACTGGGGTCAGGTTGACAGAGGCAAGCCCGGAGCCAAGAAAAGAATGAAAGCTCCCTGACAAACCTGATATCTCTGTTCCATAATAGAGCCTCTTCCCTGGTTTCGACGAAGATGTGTCTATACAACCTGTCCTAGGAGATGACCTTCCTTGGTCTACACAGCTTGTAGGGAGAAATAATATGGGGTCTACCTGAGATATTGGTTAGAATTTCATCTTCTTTAGCATGAGAGCAACCACATGGTCCATCCGGATCAACGTCTACTTCCAGTTCATTAGAGTTAAATTTGTCATCCCTGTAAGGCTGGTGCTTATCAGAACTTCCTTGGAGAATTGAAGGCATCAAAACACATTCATCCTTGGATTCTTCATGCACTTCCTTCTTTTCAACCTCCTGCAGCTCCATGCTGTGCCAGATGGGAAAGGAATGACAGAAAATTAAATGAAGAAGATCTGACCCCAAGCCATGCTGGCTGGATTTGACAGGAGGCATGGGGAGTGGTCACCGAGAGTCCAAGAGCAGGCCCCTTCAAGACAAAAGGAACTGTCCTCTCTTATATGAAGAGGAGTGTGTCTGACTGGGAATGGGAGAGGGGGTCAAGCAGGTACCCAACAGACCAACCACAAAGCTCTGATGAGGAAGGAGCCTCAACCATCCCGGGATGGTACTTTCAGGAACAGGAAGCACAGATGAACTTCCACACCAAGTGCTTCCCCACAGGTCCTAAGCCATGTTGAATTTAAGATGAAGTAGTCAAGTGAATCAGGGCTTCCCCGGTGGCTCAGGAGGCTGAGTGGCTCCTGCCAATGCAGAGATGTGGCTTCGAACCCTGGAGAAATAATTCCTGAAAGAATGAAGAGATGGAGCCAAAGCAAAGACAACAGCCAGTTGTGGATGTGACTGATGATGGAAGCAAGGTCCGATGCTGTAAAGAGCAATACTGCATAGGAACCTGGAATGTTAGGTCCATGTTTCGAGGCAAATTGGGAGTGGTCAAACAGGAGATGGCAAGAGTGAACGTCAACATCCTAGTAATCAGCGACCTAAAATGGACTGGAATGGGTGAACTTAACTCAGATGACTGTTATATCTACTACTGTGGGCAAGAATCCCTTAGAAGAAATGGAGTAGCCATCATAGTAAACAAAAGAGTCCGAAATGCAGTACTTGGATAAAATCTCAAAAACAACAGAACGATCTCTGTTTGTTTCCAAGGCAAAGCATTCAATATCCCAGGAATCCTAATCTATGCCTTGACCAGTAATGCTGAAGAAGCTGCAGTGGAACAATTCTATGAAGACCTACAGGACCTTCGAGAACTAACACCCATGAAAGATGTCCTTTTCATTATAGGGGACTGGAATGCAAAAGTAGGAAGTCAAGAAACACCTGGAGCAACAGGCAAATCTGGCCTTGGAGTACAGAATGAAGCAGGGCAAAGGCTAATAGAGTTTTGCCAAGAGAACGCACTGGTCATAGCAAACACCCAAATCCAACAACACAAGAGAAAACTCTACACATGGACATCACCAGGTGGTCAACACCCAAATCAGATGGATTACATTCTTTGCAGCCAAAGGTGGAGAAGTTCCATACAGTCAGCAAAAGGAAGACCGGGAGCTGACTGTGGCTCAGATCATGAACTCCTTACTGCCAAATTCAGACTTAAATTGAAGCAAGTAGGGAAAACCACTAGACCATTCAGGTATGACCTAAATCAAATCCCTTATGTGTAAACAGTGGAGGTGAGAAGCAGGTTTAAGGGACTGATCTGATAGAGTGCCTGATGAACTATGGACGACGGTTCGTGACATTGTACAGGAGACAGAGATCAAGACCATCCCCAAGAAAAAGAAATGCAAAAAGGCAAAATGGCTGCCTGAGGAGGCAGTACGAATAGCTCTGAAAAGAAATGAAGTGAAAAGGAAGGATATTCCCATTTGAATGCAGAGTTCCAAAGAATAGCAAGGAGAGATAAGAAAGCCTTCCTCAGTGATCAGTGCAAAGAAACAGAGGAAAACAATAGAATGGGAAAGACTAGAGATCTCCTCAAGAAAATGGGAGATACCATGGGAATATTTCATGCAAAGATGGGCTCAATAAAGGACAGGAATGATATGGATCTCACAGAGCAGAAGATATGAAGAAGAGGTGACAATAACACACAGAAGAACTATACAGAAAAGATTTTCATGATCCAGATAACCATGACGGTGTGATCACTCACCTAGAGCCGGACATCCTGGAATGTGAAGTCAAGTGGGCATTAGGAAGCATCACTGCAAACAAAGCTAGTGGAGGTGATGGAATTCCAGGTGAGCAATTTCAAATCCGAAAAGATAATGCTGTAAAGGTGCTGCACTCAAGATGCCAGCAAATTTGGAAAACTCAGCAGTGGCCACAGGACTGGAAAAGGTCAGTTTTCATCCCAATCCCAAAGAAAGGCAATGCCAAAGAATGCTCAAACTACTGCACAATTGCACTCATCTCACATTGCTGGTAAAGTAATGCTCTAAATTCTCCTAGCCAGGCTTCAACAATACCTGAACCATGAACTTCCAGATGTTCAAGCTGGTTTTATAAAAGGCAGAGAAACCAGAGACCAAATTGCCAACATCCGTTGGATCAATGAAAAAGCAAGAGACTTCCCCCCCCAAAAAAAACACCTACTCATGTTTTATTGACTATGCCAAAGTCTTTGACTGTGTAAGTCACTTCAGTTGTGTCAGACTCTGTGGGACCCCATAGATGTCAGCCCACCAGGCTCCCTGATCCCTGGGATTCTCCAGGCAAGAACACTGGAGTGGGTTGCCATTTCCTTCTTCAATGCATGAAGGAGAAAAGTGAAAATCAAGTTGCTCAGTCGTGTCTGACTCTTAGCGACCCCATGGACCGCAACCTACCAGGCTCCTCCATCCATGCGATTTTCCAGGCAAGAGTACTGGAGTGGGGTGCCATTGCCTTCTCTGTTTGACTGTGTGCATCACCACAAATTGTGGACAATTTTGAAAGAGATGGGAATACCAGACAACCTGACTTGTCTCTTGAGAAATCTGTATGCAGGTCAGGAAGCAACAGTTAGAACTGGACAGGCAACAATGGACTGGTTCCAAAGAGGAAAAGAAGTATGTCAAGGCTGTATATTGTCACCCTCCTTATTTAACTTACATGCAGAATAGATCATGAGAAATGCTGGGCTGGATGAAGCACAAGCTGGAATCAAGATTGCCAGGAGAAATATCAACAACCTCAGATATGCAGATAACACCACCCATATGGCAGAAAGTGAAGAAGAACTGAAGAACTTCTTGATGAAAGTAAAAGAGGAGAGTGAATAAGTAGGCTAAAGCTCAACGTTCAGAAAACTAAGGCCATGGCATCTGGTCCCGACACTTCATGGCAAAGAGATTGGGAGACAGAGGAAACAGTGGCAGACTTATTCTGGGGGGTTCCAAAATCTCTGCATATGGTGACTGTAGCCATGCAATTAAAAGACACTTACTCCTTGGAACAAAAGTTATGACCAAACTAGATAGCATATTGAAAAGCAGAGACATTACTTTGCCAACAAATGTCCATGTAGTCAAGGCTATGGTTTTTCCAGTGGTCATGTATGGATGTGAGAGTTGGACTATAAAGAGAGCCGAGCACTGAAAAATTGATGCTTTTGAACTGTGGTGTTGGAGAAGACTCTTGAGAGTCCCTTGGACTGCAAGGAGATCCAACCAGTCCATCCCAAAGGAAATCAGTCCTAAAGATTCACTGGAAGGACTGATGTTGAAGCTGAAACTCCAATACTTTGGCCACCTGATACGGAGATCCAACTCATTGGAAAACACCCTGATGCTGGGAGAGATTGAAGTCGGGAGGAGAAGGGGACCACAGAGGATGACATGGTTGGATGGCAACACTTAGTCAGTCAATAAACCTGAGTTTCAGACTCCGGGAGTTGGTGATGGACAGGGAGGCCTGGTGGGCTGCGGTCCATGGGGTCACAAAGAGTCGGACACGACTGAGGGACTGAACTGAACTGATAGATAACCGTTACCTGGGGGTTGGTGTTTCTTGTGCTTGTTCGTCATCTTCATCTTCATCGATTTCTTCAAACAGAATCAGAAATACCCAGTCAGCTTTTAGTCCCTTCACCTACTACAGGCACAGGGACTCGTGTGGTCACAGAGTCATAAATATCTATGTGTGAGTCAGTACTGTACGGGAGTTTTCATGCATTGTCTTTAAACAACTGCCCAAGCATGGATTTCTGATCCAACAGGCAGTCTAGTCTGTTCCTAAACTGGTAGATCATCCTCAGGACACCTTCTGCTTGAAATTGGGCAAACATCTAAATTGCCTTTTCTTCCTTATATCACCTCACATTGTCCACCTCCCATCTCCACTTCTACAAATGTATCATCATCCTGCCACAAATTCTGCCAAAGACACAGGCTCCATAAAGCTTTTCAGGTCTCACAAGATGCCCTTCTTTCTCTAAGGAGAATAACCATGTCCCACATCCCTCCATCTGGGAACATCCTGGCTCTTTCAGGTAGCTTTTGTGTGTTATCTGGGAAACTCTCCATGGAAAGTGAGTGCTCCAGTTTAAACCATTTTCCCAACACCAAGTCCAACTCTATCAAGTACCTTATCCAACACCACAAAGTGAAGGGTTTTCTCTTTTCTGCAGTGTATTTGTAAATATTCCCAAATTTCATCACTAGAGCTACCATCCACAGATTATTTCATCCAATTTACAGATGAGAACAGTTACTAACATAAGGAAAAGCAAACATTCTCACACAGTTATCAACACAGCACTCAGCCTGGAACCTGGGAACTTCCAAGCTTCATCGAGGGCTCTATTCACTCTACCAAGCTGCCTGTCACCTCCTCCTTTCTGCGCTTCAATGCTGGCTGGATGTCGCCTCCTGCCCCAGTGGCCATGGTCCATCAGGGAGGAAGCAGACCGTTGGGATACGATGGCCTCCACCCTGTGCATTTCTCCTCTGTCCTCTTACTAAGACAATCCTGCTCCTACATAGCCCCAAATAGGATATGAAACAGGAAAGCTGATAAACATTCCTAGTGGAGGTGTTCATCTTATCACCTGGGGACCTAGCAGAGGATCAGTGCTCTCAGGGTCTGTGGCCCCCTCACCTGGGCTGAGCTTGCAGGCAAGGCGCTCTGCCAAGCGGTATCCCTCAGACAGGCTCTCTCGGAAGCCCTGTCTCTGGTGCTTGTCCAGGTCACTGTGGGTGAGGAGGTCCTTGAGGTGCTGCTTGAGCAGGGCAGAGTCATCTTTCCCGTTCTGTAGTGTCTGCCGTAGCTGGGTCAGCTCTCGTGCCTGACTTCGAATTAGGATGTCACATGTTCTAGGTGGAACAGAAGACACAATTGTAAAAGGCAAAGAGTTAGATGAAAGACGGTTAGGGATTTCTGTGAGAACATCCCCAAGGAGACCTCGAGACAGAATTCCGGCACATATCTGATGACTGGCTCGCTCACTCAGTTGTGTCCGACTCTTGCGATCAAATGGAGTATAGTGCACCAGTTTCTTCTGCCCATTGGCTTATCCTGGCAAGAAAACTGGAGTGGGTTGCCATTTCCTCCTCCATATCTGATGACTGGCCTATGTCAAAGAGAAAGAAGGGAGACAAAGGTTTCCTCTGTATCAGACAGTACTCCTATAAGATTCCGTGACATTCCATTCATCTTGTCCTTCTGTAAAGGTAAGCTAATGGCTTCCCTGGTGTCTCAGCTGGTAAAGAACGTGAATGACAATTCAGGAAACACAAGAGATGCAGGTCTGATCCCTCAGTCGGGAACATTCCCTGGAGAAGGAAATGGAAACCCATTCCAGTATTCTTGCCTGGAAACTTCATGGACAGAGGAGCCTGGTGGGCTACAGTCCATGGGGTCGTAAACAGTCAGACACTACTTAGTGCACATGCATGCATCAATGTCTTCCTAAATCTGCATCATGAAGATGTCTCTTCAGTTCCTCACTCAGCCATGCCCATTTTCATTAAAAAATACACAAAATATTTCCTGTACTTTTATTTTATTTTATTTTTTTATTGTCTGTATTTTTAATGTGGCAACACAAAGTACTGTCCAGTGAAGGACACACAGCCAGATAGGGAATGTGGACACGTATGGCTAGTGTGAACTGGGAAGAACAGAAGAATGACAGGGTCAAGAAAGCATTCCAGGATGCAGTCAGTCAGGAGGCGGTTGTGATTTAAAGGCAAATAAGGTGCCGATGGCACAACACTGTCAATGAGCTGAGTGCCACTGGTCCACTTGAATGTAGTGAGTTTCCTGATGAGATTCAAGTCACTCGTTTATTTAAAAGCAAAGTAAATTACCTCCTGAAGAGCAACTGGAGTCCATAATTCACCACCTGGTGTTCTGCACCTATTTTATCATAGTGTGCCCTGTGTCTGCCATGAACATCCCTGCCCTCCTTACCTCAACCTTTCGTCAAGCGTTGGCTTCTCTGCCAGCTTCTCTGCTGGCCTCCGCGCCTCACCCGGCAGCTTCTCCCCCAGCACGGATTCAACGATGTCCTTACATGCGTCACACTCTGCGGAAAGACAGACAGTGCCTCAGGGAAAGCCAGCATTGCTGCTGTGGTCACTGCCTTCAAGGGAGGAGGATGGGCCACCTCAGTGGTGGATGCAACTCCTTCTCCAGTCTCCTCATGCTGGGATCTCAGTAACGAACGAGTGTCTCAAGTATAAACCTCACCTGGACACACTGGTGTGAAATAGAATACGTGAAACCATAAGGACCTGAAAGAGATAGGCCCAAACCCTGAGGAAGCCTGTGTCATTAGGAACAGTAGAACTGTGAACTAAGTGTATTTACACTCAGCCAGGCACTGCTGTCAGGGCTTTGTCAGATTTACTCAGTCTTCACTACAACTCAAACAAGAGTTACTATTACAGCACCACACGGACAGAGGAGGAAACCGAGACACAGAAAGGTTCCCAACAGGGATGTGAGCCCGGGAAGCCTGGCCCAGAGTCCACGTCTTTCACACTGTGCTGCGGTGACCTCCCACCAGAGTCCTGGTGAGACATTTCTTCTTCACCAGCCTCCCAATTTCTTTCCTAGAATTTTGTGACTATTACAAGGAGCGGTGTAAATAAAACTTAGCTTTCCCCAAAGCTCATCATTTCACTTTCTTAAATAGTAGGCTTTACCACTTACGGCTCTCTGTGTCAGTCATTTTTCATTGACTCCCTCATCGCTTCACTGAAAATGACTATAGGAAAGTGACACAGACACAGGTTGTCAAGATTCTGCTCATCCCCTTGTTGTGCAAGTACCCTGGTCATGATTTCTTTCCTTACTCCAGGCCCCTCTTACTGAACAGGCAAAAATGATTCCAATTGCTGGCTGACTGTGGGCCAAAAGGGCCTCCTCACACTCTGTTGGGTTTTTACTGGGGCTGGTGATCTGCCCCCACTTACCATCATCCTCATGTTGGTCACACATCTTATAGCATAGACTCAGGGTCTCCCAGACTCCTGGTCAACCTGAGTCACCAAAGTTTCACCAGCTCAAGTGGGGAGAGAGGGGAAAGTGCAGATTCTCTAATTAACAAGAAACACCTTCATTCTTGCCACAGAGTCACATGGCTTTCTTGGACTCAGAAAGGAGAACCTGCACACTCAGAAAGCATGACTTCCTTCTCACCAGGAAGTCCCTGTCTTGATGGCCTCACAGAGACCATGGTTTCAGTGAGAAGCAGACTCATCCTTAAGCTCCTTTAAATCATATCCCCTGCTTCTCACAGTGTGTTAACCAGGCATTACACCAGTGCAAATAGCACAGGGCTTTGCCAATGGAACCTCAGGGAACCCCGAATCGATGGAGTTCATTAGTCCCAGAGGTTTAGCCAAGAGGCATGCAGGATCAGATACAGAGCAGAAAAGATTCCAGTCAACACAGCTTAGTTTGCAGCTGAGAGACACAGGCAATCCTGTGCCGGCACCCGGAATCACTGTCTGGAACTTTAACTCGAATCTCACCCTACACATCACTAAAAACTTGGAAAAGTGCCTCCACTTCTTGTGCCTCAGTTTTCCCAGCCTCAGGGAACTGAAGGCAAAAGAGCCACTCTACTACCTTTCCTGCACCGTGGTCAGAATGGAATTCAAAATGACAAAGGGAAAAGGAGACCAATATGGGAGACTTGGTTTCTTAGATGGAAGACACTGATCATTTACTGCTTTGGTGACCATGACCCCAAGGACTTACTGTATTTCTGCAGATGGTTGGCCAGGGAGTAAGCAGTCGCTTGGGATATGAGGAATTTCTCTGTGAGGTCTCTGAAGTCCTGCTTGTACTTTTCCAGCTGCAACTGAAGCTCCTGGTTGATTTCTGCGAGGGTACGTTCTGCCCTCAGATCCGATGAAGAGGGAAGACACTCTGCCATGGTGACATGTGGTGGAAGAGGTAGAAGCCAGGGGTGGGGAGGAGACTCGCAGTATATGGGGGAGTCAAACAAGCAGCGTCACATTGGTTTCACCAGCACCAAGGGATGACACAAACTGGATTTCCTGATTTACTATTGGGAACAACTAGAGGGTTCTCAACCACAAAAAGAAGTTGAAGATGCCAGAGCTCAGAGCCACAGGTGCTGTGTGGGGCTCAGACTAAGACAGGAGTGAAGGAGGGTGACCCAGCGTGCTAGGTAACCATCTGGAGTTGCCATAACAGAACTGGTAGGGGGAGGGGTTCATGGAATCTTGGCGGCCCCTGGCTTCCAAGTGCCTAGGCCATGACCATTGTGAACATCACCACTGATAGCACCCAATCCCTCAGCAGCCACTCTTGTGTTGTCTACACACGTCCCGATACCACTGACCTATCTCCTTCCATAAACTATCTAAGCTGAGTTCCCATTGTTCATTCTTCTGTGTATAAAAATATTCCTGGGAGAAATACTTTGCCAGCAGGCCTTAATTCCTGTCGGGCTGTCATAAAGTCACCTCAGATCAGTTCAGTTCATTTCAATCGCTCAGTCATGTCTGACTCTTTGCAACCCCATGGACTGCAGCATGCCAGGCCTCCCTGGCCATCACCAACTCCTGGAGTTCACTCAAGTTCACATCCACAGAGTCGGTGATGCCATCCAACCATCTGATCCTCTGTCGTCCCCTTCTCCTCCTGCCTTCAATCTTTCCCAGCATCAGGGTCTTTTCCAATGAGTCAGTTCTTTGCATCAGGTGGACTAACTATTGGAGTTTCAGCCTCAGCATCAGTCCTTCCAGTGAATAGTCAGGATTGATTTCCTTTAGGATGGACTGGTTTGATCTCCATGTAGTCCAAGGGGCTCTCAAGAATCTTCTCCAATACCACATTTCAAAAGCATCAATTCTTCGGCAGTTGCTTTCTCTTTAGTCCAACTCTCACATGCATACAAGACTACTGGAGAAACCATATCACCTCATCTTCTGTTTTTTGTTTTTTTTTTTTTTAATATCATCGTTTTAAACAGATCTTAAGGCTTTTCCACAACTGAAGGACATCAAACTTGTAGATGTCATCAACTTCTTCCCTGTGTCTTCTCCAGTTTAGTCTGTGTCCTAAAAACTGTAGGATAAAAATCAGAGTACAATACTAAGTGAATATAGAATTTTAAAAAATATTTTCTGTACCATCTCAGTGCTTTTGCTGCATCCTGTTGTTATGTCATTTTTTTCTTTTTGCTGGGCCGCATGTTGTCTACAGAATAAACTGAAATTTGACATCCCTACTTTCTGAATTCTTCCTCTGGGTCTGGGTTGTTTTATTTGATTTTTTTTAATGTTACTAAACACTGCATTTCATACTTTCACTTATGTATTTCACTGTAGCCTCACAAGAGCTCTTTCCAAGCTGTCAAAGTGACTAGAAGTGTTTATCTTCAAAAACATGGTATGCTTGTGCCATCACTTCATTCTTGTCTGACTCTTTGCGATCCCAGGACTGTAGCCCGTCAGGCTCCTCTCTCTATGGGAATTCTCCAGGCAAGAATTCTGGAGTGGGTTGCCCTGCTCTCTTCCAGAGGATCTTCCTGACCCAGGGATCGATCCCGCATCTCCTGTGTCTCCTGCATTGCCGGCTGATTCTTTTACCACTGAGCCACTGAATACATGGGGTGCCTGTCTGTTTAGGAAAGATCTGACAGCCTCGTGCTATCGTTCTGTGTTCATTCAGTTCACCCACATATTGAACAGACCAGGGCTCCAGAGCAGTGTTTGTGGCACACACTTTGACCCATCTCTATGAGTTTTCCTCATGCCATTGACCTGTGGTTGTAGTCCAGAAACAGAGCATGGTTAAGTTCAAGGTCATAGGTCAGGGGTCATGATGATCCAAAGTGAACAGAAGCACTGGGTTCAGTGACATAGAAGCTGAGTTTGAAGAAAGAGATACAGGCAGGCCCTCGGGTAGTGATGGTCTGAACCAACTCCTCATTTCCCTAGCATCTCTTCCTACCTGGGTCTTGTGAGTCTGAGACTCGGGGAACCCTTATAGCATCCATCTCTTCTGGTTAGCTGTTGGTCTAACCTGGATGGAGGGTGAAATGGGTGTGACAACAGGCCACTGAGCATTTGTTCACGTTAAGGTAAAAGATAGAAAACTGGATCAACTATTTATGAAAGCTTATCTTCCCCACACCCCCACACAATCCTCCAACTACAATGCTTAATGATAATTGGTGTGTCAGATTCAGCAAAGGCTTTAAGGGAATCTATTTTCCGGTTGCTCTGGGGCCTGACATTCTGTGGGAGAAAGAAAAATGTGTCAAATTTCTTCATTATAAATAGGATGAAACCAAAAAAGCTCACAGAAGGTATCTGACTTGAGGTCAAATGGGGATGAATTTTGCCATGCTAGCAGAAGTGTGTAACAGGTACAGTTCATTGACTGATACCGTGCCAGGCATTGCACACATATTATGAAGCTTTCTTTGATCGTAATCATTCAAGGTAACATCATTGTAGAAGAAGTACATTAAAAAATTTATTCAACCGAAGTTCAAATAAAAAAAAAAAACCACTTTATCAAGGCAAGTAAGCTATTGCTTTGCATTTTGGAGGTAGGAGAATTCTATTGTTTTTATCCTGCCTTTATCCCATTTCATACTCCTCTTTTTCTCTGTGACCTGACTTTATCCCTAGAGCCCTACCTTTTTTCAACTAAACCATTTCTATGCACTGAGCAATAGCAGAAGTGATGGCTGGGCTCTTTTAAAGCCTCCCTGAGCGCTTAATGTATTTCAGGACACCAGACACCATCTGGAGGCAAGAGCAGCCTGTCTGTCAGATTGTGTGCTGTGCTAAGTTGCTTCAGTCATGTCCGACTCTTTGTGATCCCATGGACTGTAGGCCTCCAGCCTCCTCTGTTTATGGAATTTCCCAGGCAAGAACACTGGAGTGGCTTGCCATGTCTTCCTCCAGGGAATCTTCCTGACCAGGGATCAAAACCGTGTCTCCTTCGCCCTTTCCTTTGCCCTCTTAAGGCTGACGCAGTGCCTTAAGAGGCTAACACAGGAGGGTAAAGAAAGACTCCAAAAAACCCAGAGAAGAGATTTTAGACCTCCTCTCTGGATTCCGTCTGGAGTCACAACTGAATCGGAAGATTTTAAGTCTTAGCACTTACTAGTATGTGTATAGTTAATACCTAAGTCATTAAATGTAAACTTGACCTTCGATTTGACAATAAAAAGAAAAACAAAAAACCATGTCTCTTGCGTGTCCTACATTAACAGGTGGGTTCTTTACCACTAGCGCCACCTGAGAATCCCATCTGTTAGAATGCGCAGCTGCTTTCCCAACCCGCTGATGTTAGCAGGATGTCCCAGGACAGAAAGGGATCACTTCTTTTCAACTCAAGAATCTTTTCTCTCAGTGACTGTGCTCTATTGGGCCGAACTCTCCTGAAATTGAATGCTCTTGCTAACTTTTTGGTTACTTGTTAGGTGGCTTGGGTATTTATAAAATTTTCTAACAAACATCGTTGTTGAAGTTTGTATTTATAGCAATGCAATTTATTTTTTAGAAAGTGGCGGCTTGGAGAAGATTGGTCCCATCAATGAGCAAACAAGGGTGAATTTAGCTTTCACTCAAAACCAGACTGAATTAAAAATTAGGCCTCTCACTTTCCTCAAGGTGCATGGTCAGCTGCCACAGGCATGTGTCCCCAAGGACTCGTGTCTCTGCTGTAAACTGGGCAAGACTAAAATGGGGTCAGATGGGCCTAGTCCTTCAACTCTAGAGTCTTCCAACAGGTCTCTGCTTTAGTCACTGCATTGGAAACACCCTTGTGCTTCTGCTCTGTCTTCCTTCTGTGTTTGGGTAAAAGTTATACATCTCATTGTGTTCTGTCCCCAAGCTGATCATTCTAAGAGTCACCCCGGAGAGTTAGCACCCACACAAGTGCACCATCCTCTCCTGAAGCAACTGTGGTTCAGCGAGTTGAGGTGGGACCTGGAATCTATTTGTGAAAGGTTTTCAGGTGTGCACTTAGTTTTACCCACTGATTTCATTGACCTCCCTCATGATCTGAGGGGATGATTATTTCATTTATGGTACTTCTAGTGTTCAAAATTGACTGGTGCCAAAAACATAACTCTCTGCTGCTTTGCAGTTGAAGAAACTGAGGCACAGAGAGGGTCTCTAACGGGCCAAGACCCCTTGCTGTAAGTGCTGGAGCCACACCCGGGTAGCGTCCCTTCTACTGTGAAACCCCAGCCCACATTTTCTAGTTCACTCTTGTGTCAGGTTCTTTCAACTAGCTGTTTCCTTCACCTATACTGCATGTTACCGAAAACTTCCCCAATGTATTAATAATTTCTCACTTGATACTGTTTATCACAACAGATATTTTTCAGAAAAGTCTATCATTACCCCATGATGCATATTGGTGACTTTATTAAAAAACTGAATATGGGTGTGGGTAACTTTTCTACTCTTTTCTCTTTCATTCATTTGTGTTCTGTTTACTTACACCAGTAGAGTGTATTACTTACTGTAGTTTTAACCTAAGTTTTGAAATCTAGTAGAGTAAATCCTCCAACTTAATTCTCTGTCTTGGCTAATTGAGATACTTTGATTTCCACTTATATGTTACAATTCACCTGCAAAACTATACCTCCCCCCAAATGCCAGCTGCAATACTATTCAGAAGAACAAGGATTTGACAATCTAAAAATAGTGTCTTCCAATCTATGAATATAATGTATATTTCTGTTTATTTAGGTCTTCTTTAATTTCTCTTAGCAATAGTTTTCAGGAGTCGTCAGTATCTGTATTCTTCAGCATTAAATGATCATGGATGTTTCTCTCTGTTATGTTTTACTGAATTTCATTTCCTAATACTGCTGGTATGGGGAAATGTGGTCGATTTTTATATGAGTCCTCCTGACTGCACCATTAAAAGTATACT